ACTCTCAAACTCAGTGTTTGAAACAAAACTCTTTATCTTACAAGCCCCAATTCCAAACATCCATATTTTTGTGGAGAGTCACCATCCATCCTGGATTCCAGGTTCATGATCTCAGTGCCATTCCCTTATTCTCACTCTCCCTAACCTCACATATCCATTCAGTAACCAAGTATGATCAATTCTATCATCACATAATAGCTCTTGTGTCTGTAGTCTCCCTACTCACAGAGGTATAAGCCTATTACAGATTCTCATCACTTTCCACTTGGATCATTGTAATAACCTCCCACTTGGTCTCCCTGCCTCCAGTCTCCCTCCTCTCTAATCCATTCTCTTACAGCCAGCAGTGATTTTCCCTAAGCACAGGTCTGACCACATCACTCTCCTGTTCAGTAAACTCCAATTGCTCCCTCTTCTCTCCAGGATCCAATAGAAACCTCTTTGTTGGACACTGAAGGCCCTTCAAAATCGGGCTATAACTTCTCTTTCTGCCATCATCCACACTTCTCCACACATACACTAGTAACGGGGAAGGAGACTAATGGCCAATGGTCTCTTCAGAAGCCAAACTGTCATTCTCAATGGTCGTCCCCCGATGCACTTTCTCTCCCATCTCTAGATCTTTGCACTGGTTGTTCCTGATCTCTGCCTATTTTTAAATATTAACGTGTTTTCTGTTTAGTCATTCAGCCACATCCAACTCTTTTTGACCCCATGGAGAACAGCCCACTAACACTTTCCATGGGGTTTTCATGACAAAGATATTGGAGCGGTTTGCCATTTCCTTCTCCAGTGGATTAAGGCAAACAGAGGTTAAGTGACTTGCCTAGGGTCACACAGCTAGCAAGTTTCTGATGCCAGATTTTAATTCAGGACTTCCTTACTACAGTCCCAGTGTTCTATCCACTGAGTTATCCAGGTGCCTCACATATACATTGGCTTCCTGTAGTAGAATGTCCTTGAGGATGGATGGTACTTCATTTTTGCCTCATTATACCCATACCTTAACATGATGTGTGATAGCAGAATGGTGAACTGAGCCTTCAAGGAAACTAGCAGTTGCATGAGGCAATTGTGAAGAGAGAGAAACTTTTAAAGACCACCAGGGGTTCAGAAGATACTTTACTGGGAGATGTTATATGAAAGAAAGGGGCCAGGTCTCACACTTCTGCCTGATTATGCCCACTGACTAAGCTGGGAAATTCAACATCTAACACTGTCAGCTGGTCAACCAACTATCATTTATTCAGCACCCATCATGTTCCAGACACAGTGCTAGGGAACATAAAGAAAGGCAAAAAGCATTGTCCCTGCTCTCAAAGAGCTCACACTCTAATGTAAAGTGGCAAATGGCTGCAGTACAAATGAGTTCTGTATAGGCTAGCTTAAAGGCAATCTCGAAGAGAAGACACTAGCATGAAGCAGAACTGGGAAAGACTTCTCCAACAAGGTGGGAGTTTGAGATGGGACTTGAAGGAAATCGGCAAGCAGGAGGCAGAAGTGAGTCAGAAGAACCTCTCAGATACTGAGCAGAACCATCAGAAATTCACAGAGCTGCGAGATTGAGAGTTTTGGGTGAGAAAAGCAAGGAAGTCAATGGCACTGAATCAAAGACTACATTGAGAAGAGTAGTTTAGGATATTACTGCAAAGGTAGGCGTGTGAGGAGGGCTTTAAAAGGTGAACACAAGGTTTTATGTTTGATCCTTCAAAGACATTGACACAAACTCTCCTTGTAAGCACATAAGTCACAAGAGTCAAAGAAGGGGGAAATGGTTAATTTACAAGCCAAAGAAAATAAATAGGGTTCGTGATAGAACTCATAAAAAGGGTCATTTATGAGCCACTCTATTCTCCTCCCACCCACCCACCCTCTCCACCCCTAAAAAAAGAGACTTGTGTATCCTCATTCTCTTATGATCATGCACATGCAGGAACTCTAGCAGGGCATGGCCACTGTACTCATTATTGTCTGTCTCCTCTCTCGGTTCTCCTTTAAGTCTTGCTCCAATCTACTTAATATAGATTATTCTGCCTGTCATTCTCAGCCACTGCAGCAGAAGATGACAGCTCTCCTTCCCTAGCACCCTTTCCTACCATGGTTCTTCAGCCATGTCTCTGTTCTGCAGCTATCCAGCATATAGTACTGACTGACATTGCCTGTTGCTGCCTAAACAGGAATCCATCCTCAGTGATGGAGTTCCTCAGGTGAAACACTTCCTTAGCATCCTGTCCCATAATGAAAGGAGACTCACCCATTGCCTAGAGAGTCTTCCTTTCTTTTCCTTTCTGCATCCATCTCAGACACAGTGCCTCAAGAGAATCCCTACTTTGGGTTTTTCCCTTTTATGATAATTCCTGATGACTTCTAGACCCATGGCAACTTGCTTAGTGCTTGTCTTTGAACATTTCCTCTCTTGACTTCCTTCAAGACTCAGTTTAAATCATACCTAACTTAGGAGGACTTCCTGCCTTCCCTTCCTCCCATGTTTCTAGTGACTACCACAATAAGACTGTTTTCCATCTTCTCTGTAAGTATCTATATCTTTACAGGCAGGGACTGTTTTTTTGACTGTTTAAAATTATCGTCAGCTCTTACCATAGTGCCTCACATATAACAAGCACTTAATATGTGTCTGTGAAGGATTGACTAAAGAAAGATGACTTGAGAGAGCATTCTGCAAAGCCAGTCTTCTTCCCCATTGCCAATGCAGATGATGATGTCTTTACTACCCCAGTATCCAAGCAGTGCCCCTCCCACTCAAGTGAACAACTTCTGTGGAGGCTCAGGCTCCGCAGAACTCACCATTTTGTCCCTCAATTTCCTTTTAGGCTTTTTGGCAGCAATTTGGCATACGGTTCTCTTGCAGCAGCCTGGGGAGGAGGAGGAGGGAGGAGAAAAATACTTCTGACACTGCTACTTTTGATTCATCTTCCTTTGAATTTAAGTAGCTGTGACACTGTCTTAAGAAAAAATAATAATGAAACCTCCCCCATTTCCCTGCTGTGATACTAGGCCCCCAGTGAGGAAGCAGCTGAAGGTAAGACTTCTAAAATAGGTAGATACCCCAAAACACATTCCCACCAGTTGCTGGGTGGCTCTGAGATCAGATATCCAATGTACCCATTGACAAGCAGAATATTAACTCATCTACTTCCCTTCATGGTATTAGGAAAAGACTGAGTGAGTGGGGGAAGGCAGGTTGGGAACATAGCATTTGAATTGGATTTATTGCCAGTGTGAATTGGACAAGGTCTCATCTTTCTGTGTAAATAAGATATGCATGGAGCTAAAGATCTACTCAGTGAGAAATCTAAGAATGACTGGAGGATGTGGGGAGGGAAAGCAGCTCAGACTCCAGTGTAAATAGCAATAAACAGGGAAGGGGAAGCCTCCCCTTATTTCTCTGATACGATACCCAGGTACCAGAAGCTAAGTTAAAATTTCTCTGGGATTATCCATCAGACCTTCAAAACTCACACTCATAGCCCGTAGGAGACTCTATGTGAGAGATCACTTTTCCCTTGAATCCCAAGGACCCCTTGTCCCCTTGTCTGTGCCTCCCTGCTTCCCTCTTTGTTTTGAAGGAAGCCAGTTAGAGGAAGGGATGGAAAATATCTCTAAGTAAAGTTTTTTTCTTGTTTTTCATCTACAATAATTCACTTCATAAGCTTTTCTAAAGAGTGAGAGCTTTGGCTGAGGTCCAGGCTACAAACAGAGGGTGAAGACTTTTTCTTCACAAGAGCCCAGGGGGCCCTTTCTAAGATAAAGGGATTTTGAAGGGAACTGCTTCCATTGAGAAAGCAGTCATGGTACTAGAAGACTATAGGAATAATAACTATAAGAGCAACAATAGTTAACATTTAAATAGCTCTTACTACGTGAAAGGCAGGGTGCTAAACTTAAAATGTTGGCCAGATTTAGCAAAGCGATTTATACAAATATACACCAAAGGATCTTTGACTTCCAAGGATGTAGGTATTCTCTTCAAAGATGCAAATCACTACCCATCCACATCTGCCCATCTGGGATGACTTTTTTTTTCTGTTCTCCCATTAATTCACCATTGGGAGACCACCAAGTGAGCTTGGGCCCTTCCAAGCACCCCATGGATAACTCTAAAAGAATCCAAATGCAGCCTTCCTCCCTGTGTTTTGAACAGATATCTTTTCTTCCTTCTCCAATGCTCCTCAAGCACTCTGTTTGAATCTTGCCATTACCCTACACCGTCACTTTAATTTTCTGCCTTTCTTTCAAAGTTAAATGCTTCTTCAAAGAAATTGAACATTGAATCTACTCTTACCCTTCTGGAGAAACTGAGTGGAGAAACTAAAGGGACTCACTAAGTATTAATTTAAAAAATAATTAAAAACATTTCTGATTGTTTGGTAATGCGATACATAATGGAGTGGACCACCATTTCCTGGAAGATCTTTAAAAATGGATGTTTTTGTGTGGGCATGAGTATACATATGTGAGCACTTAACATGCAGCCCTTATATGCCTCATTTCTCAATGTTCTGGCATGAATTTGAGAGGGACAGGATTGCCATGGAGTCTTAAATGTGTTTTGAGGCAGGTGAATTTTCAAGCTCAATTTTTTTTGAATTCGTAGGCAGAGACCATCAGATAAAACTTTCCTTCTCATCTCTTGTTCAGTTCCTTGTCCCCCTTGATGAGGGTGGACGGAAATAACTTCCATCTCACTCCCTTTCCCTTTTTGAAGCAGTGATTGCTGTCTGCCATCCAGCCCCCTGCCTTCACTCTGCCACAGATGGTCTCTAATTTCCTCTCCCTGGAGTAGCCATGAAAAGATGCAGATGGTATTTTGGGAGTCTGTGTCATTAGACTAAATCTACTCAGACCTCTAGTTAGTCATCTCAGGGGGTTGTTTGTCAATTTTTAAGAATTCCAAACTGCTAAACTTGGCCTGTTTTGTAGCAGCCAAAACATACGTGCTTTCCTCTCATCCAGTACTGTCTTTCCCATCGTCCTTTCAGGCTGTAGAATGTCGACCATTGGCAGCTTCGAAGGGTTCCAGCCTGTGGCACTGAAGCCAGATGGAGATGATCAGCCCTCAGAAAGAGACAGCCTCCCAATGGAAGAGGGGAGTTCAGGCAGAGACTCAGTGCCCAGCAGAATGGCAAGGCAGCCTAGTGTGACCGAATCAGTTCTCTACCCAAACCCATACACTCGGCCACATTGCACACGCAAGTACTTTGTTACTCGGGTAATGGATCCTTGCTTCTATTTCTTAAACCACGTCTTAGATATCATAGGAGTGGGCAGAGGGTATAGGCTGGCAGGTCTTAACAAAGAATATAGTGTCATCAGGCAGCTAGGTGGCGCAGTGGATAGAGCACCGGCCCTGAAGTCAGGACGACCTGAGTTCAAATCCAGTCTTAGACCAAACACTTGACATGTACTAGCTGTGTGACCTTGGGCAAGTCACTTAACCCCAATTGCCTCACTAAAAATAAAAAAAAAAGAATATAGTGTCATCTAAAGGGTTAAAATAAAATCCTGATCTAGCTGCTGACTAGATCAACATAGGTTGATAGGATGCTCTTTCTTGAGCTAGAAGACTCTCAGAGGCCATCTAACCAAAACTTCTCATTTTACATATGGAACTGAGGCCAAGAGAGCTAAAATGACTCATCTAAAGTCTTATAGCAGCTAAGTAGCAGAACCATCATTCAAACTCAGGCTTTGCAATTTTAAATTCATTGAATTCCTCATCTTTCTCAAGCCCAGTCCAGTATGTTCTTCACTTCATTCATTCATTCATTCATTCATTCATTCATTCATTCATTCCCTTATTCATTCATTACATTCTTTTATCTTACATTTGTCAAGTGTCAGCTATGAGCAGGGAGATGTGCAAGACAGGACAGCAATAGAGATATAACAGAGAGGCAGCTTTCAAGCATTTTAAACTCTAAATGCAGAGAGGCAGGCCATGCACACCAATGATTACAATAGACAAAGCACATGAGGATTATTCTGAGCAAAGACAAAAAGGTCCTTTCAGCTGAGGTGGAAGAGGAAGAGGAGAAGGAGGGAGCTGCATGGAGCAGATGACACCTAGGGAAAACTTTATGTATAGTAGCAGGTGCTAGACTTGGAATGCCATGGGCCTGTTTCTGACATGGAGGTGCTGAGCAGGGCAGTGGGGAAGCATGAGTGTAAGGAGTGGCCTGAAATACAAAGATGGGGAGTGAAGGAGCAGCAAGAGAATGATGGACTCACTAGCAACTGGGCTAGAACATGGTCTATGTACAAAAGCGGATGACATACTAGACCCATAGTTATCTCCAAATCCTCCCTTAACCCTTTCTAGTTGAGAGCCTCAGGTGAAACTTAGTTTTCTCATCCCCAAAACAGGGCTGGTAAATATCTGATAGGGTTGGAGTTTCCAATAAGATGAATTCTGCAAATCACTTTGAAAATCTTAAAGTCTTATCTTTGTGAATATGTACATTTATAATATGCACACATGCAAACACATATCATGTATGTGTGTGTGTGTGCAGAGATGAACTTGGACCTGACCTGTGAGTTTATCATTGCAGAAAACTCCTAGTAATGAAACTTCCTCCCTGAAGATGAATCAATCATCCAATCAATCCATCCATCAAGAAATATTTATTAAGCCCTTCTTAAATGCCAGGCACTGTGCTAACCATTGGAATACAAGTACAAAGAATGAAACCATCCATTCTAGCAAAGAACTTACATCCAATTGGTACTTAATAGTCTAAAATGCTCGTGTGTGATACTAAGAGGTTAGGTGACTTCCTCAGGTAACATAGACAGGATTTTAGAGATAGGATTTGAACCTATGTCTTCGACCTGATGACCTAGTTTTATCTATTTTCTGTACTAATGGCCTTCACACACACACACACACACACACACAAACATGCACATGCACATGCACACACACATGTATATGCACAGTTCTATGTATATGTGTATATATACATATATGGGTATATGTGTATATATGTATTGTATATGTAGTTATAGAAATGTGTATATTTATGTTTCCATGTATATGTATATTTATATGCCTATATGTACATATTTGTGTATATGCACATATCTATATGAATGTGTGCATGCATGTGGATATTTATATGTGTATGTATATATGCATGTGTATAAATATGTGTATATATCTATATATGTGTGTGTTTGTATATATATATATATATTATATACAGAGAGAGAGAGTGAGAGAGAGAGAAGTATATATATTTACATATTTTCAGTTCTGTTCAATCACCCCTTGTGACCCATTTGGGGTTCCTTGGCAAATATACTGGAGTGATTTGCCATTTCTTTCCCCAGCTAATTTTACAGATGAGAAAAGTAAGACAAACAGGGTTAACTGACTTGGCCAGGGACACACAGCCAGTATACATCTGAAGCCAAATTTGAACTCCCTGACTCCAAGCCTGGCGTTCTATCCACTATTCCACCTACCTGGCCCTTCCATATATACATGTACACATACATATGCATATACATGTATGCCATACGTGCATGTATGTATATGCAGTGTGGGTGTGATATGAATGTATGTGTGTATGTGTATATATATGTATGTGTAAGTATAATAAATATATAAATAACATATAATAAATGTGTGTATACATATGTATGTGTGCATATCTATCTCTCTATATATGTATGTATGTATATGTGTATGCATATACCTAGATGTGTTAATATTTGAGTATAAACAACTTTTATATTATTAATTTCTCAACCCAAGAACCTGGAAAAACAAGGGTAATAAAAATTCAAGCATAAAAGTAGCGAGTCCTAGGTTTTTCAGAAAGATTGTGCATCCAGTTTTGGACATATTGAGTTTAATATTCCACTGGGACATGGAAGTAGACCTATCCAACAAGGAGCTGGAATTATAGGCCTGGGGCTCCGATCAGGAATTGAAGGTCATCTACTGAGGTGACTGTTGGACCGTAGAAGAGAACGTTTGCCATGGGAGAGAGTTAAGAGAAAGAAGAAAAGAAGCCAAAGTCAGAAGCTTGGTAGATACTCAAATGGAAAAAGTTGGAAAGAGGATGAGGAGCTGATAAGAGAAATTTAGTTAAAAAGATCTTTATACACACTCACAAATGTATGTGTGTATACATGCATGTATGCATGTACGTGTATTTCAAGGATATATGTATATACAGACATACACATGCATGTGTTATACCTACATATACATACACACACAATCTCTGCGTGCCATATAAGGTAGAGTGAGAGAAAGAAGGTCCCAAGAATGGGCTGTCTCTCAAGCTAAGGAAGCAGAGATCAAAGTAAAATGGATGGTTTGACAACTTTGTCAAATACTATTGTGAGGCTAAAGAATATGGATAGTGCAAAACTAAACTAAGAAAACAAACCAAAAAAATTAGAGCCATTTCTCCTATCCCCAAGAAACTGTGTAATGGCAATGAGATGTGCCTGAATCCCTGTATTCTAGCTCACTATATAACCCTTCTTCCTGTACTATCCCTATTCATGACCCTATGTGGCATCCTCAAAGGTTAAATCACTCAGACAGAGGTAGAAGCAAACACTTCAATCCATCTCAGCTTGGATTCTGTGGCAGCAGAAAGAAAGAGCGTCAGTTTGTTTATTTTAATTTTCATATGCGCTTGGGGAAGAGTGTTTCAAACAAGATGCCTGAGTATACATAATTGCCTGCCCCAATATTGCAAGGAATTGTAATTGCGTCTGTGTGGGTATATGCGAATCATCAACACCTACTATTGTACAGGACACTGCACTGCACACCCACACACATTTATTTTGACAAAATGAATCGTAGCATCTCAGAGTTGGGAAGGAACTCAGTGACATAGAGGCCAGCCCATACCTAGCCAAGAATTCCCTCCCCCATGCCCACCAAGAGGTCTTTCAGTTTTTTTTTTCCTTGACAATATCCAGCTAGGGGAGACCCACTGCTTCCTGAGGAAGCCCAGCCTGGACAGCTCCTAGTGGGAGGAGGTGTTTTCCTGATATCCATTCATTACTGCTGATTCTATCACCTGGGAGACAAGGAGAATAAATCTACTATCTCTTCCATACAACAGCTCTTCAGTTATTTAAAGACCTTCATGATACCACCCACCCAAGTCTTTTCTTCTCCAGGCTGAACAGACTTTATTCTTTCAGCTAATCCTCTTATGTCCTTAGTGCAGAATCCTTCACCATCTGAGTCTACACTGTAGAACTCATCAAGGTCCTTCCTAAAATATAGCATCCTGAACAGAGGACAATTGGGATTTATTCATACCAGAGTGCCGTGGGGCTGTCATCTCCAAAGTGCTGGGAATTATGCCTCCCTCACCAAAACCAGAGATTGGGAGCATCACTGGCTGCTATGATCACATTACTGACTCAGACAGAGTTTGCTGTCAGCTAAAACTTCCAGCTCTTCTTCAAGCAAGTCACTGTCTAGTCACGTTTCCCCCACATTGTACTTCAACGATGACTTCTTTGAAGCCAAGTATGAGACTCCATTGGGTACCTCTTCCTTCAAATTTGACCTAAAAACCACAATTGGCAATTTGGTAGACTGGTCATTCAACTGGCCCCAAATCCACTTGACTTCATAACTGTATGTTTATTAGTCATAGCACAAAGCACTTCAAAAAATGGAGGCATGAACTGTGACTCTAAAGTAAATTCAATTAATAAAAATAACAACTAGTCTTTGCAGATCACTTTTTACACAGTGCTTTACACTTAATAATTCCTTTCATCCTCATAATAACTCTGTCAGGTAATTATTATTAGGCCCATTTTACAGACGAGGAAACTGAGGCTGAAAGCAGAAACCTGACTTGCTCAGTATCAGACATTTTGTAGGTGTTTGGATCAGGATTATGAACTCAGGTCTTTCTGACTCCCACTCCAACACTCTATCCACCGCACTATCTACCTTCCTTACATCAAATTCAAGAGTTGCTTTCTGATCTTAATATTTCTGGTCCTTAGTTTTATTCTTTGTTAAAAAACAACAACAACAACAACAACAAAAAGAATAGCAGTTGACCAGATACGTTCTGAAGCCACCCTCTCCCAGCCCTAAATCTATTATTCCATGACTGCTTCATTTCTGGTGTTTGCTAGCTGAGCAAGTTTTGGTAGGACCCTTCCCTCTCTCTGGCCATCAGTTTCCTTATGAGTGAAATGAAGACTTGG